TCTGATGATCGGCCATCAACTTACGCGCCGTCAAGATTGGTGGATTTCTTGACTTTAATCGGCATCTTAAGAGATCAGGAATGTATCCATGTATGGGTAGAGAGGAATTTAATAGGATCTTACTATACTCCCGAATGAGAGCTTCTTGTCGTCATAAGTGCGGGGGGAGTATGTGACTAAGAACTGGTAACCAGTAACTAGGTGTAGATTTTATGCACCCAGTAATTAGCCTCATCGTATGGTTAAGTTGAACATCAATAAGTCCTGTATGTGAGCTGTTTATCCATACAGGTGCACAGTATTCCACAGCAAAGCCCGAGGGCTGCACATCGGAGAGTTGGGGCTGAAGCTCCCCAAGTTGTTCCGCATAGCTTTTGTAGGATGTTATTTCTGCTGTTAACCTTGGCAGCCATATTCTGGATATATTTCTTAAAGGACAGGGTCCTGTCTAAGGTGACCCTTAGGTATTTTGGTGTTGCCTCGTATGGGAGCAGTTTGTTATTTAGGTATACATTATAGATCATATAATTTGTGGTCAAGAGTATATGTTCTCACTGCAGTAATATTTTCAATTTAAAGAACAAAAATAACAACATAAAGGTGCTAAGAAGAAGAAGTGGATAATTCAAATTGTACCATCTATTAACACTGAGATAGTACTTAAAATAGTTCCAAATCAGTTCAAAGAGTGTGGGAACAACTCCCAGTTTGTAGCTATATCTAGAGGGGACAGTTGGGGAAATTTACCCCAAAACAGTGTGTTTCATTTGATCCAATGATTGCCCAATACCTCAGGTATCGTAAATACTAGTAGATGAAGCAATAATCAAAAAAATATAGATGCCCATTAAAAAATGGTGGCACATGTGCATTTCCGGATTATAATAGGAACAGCTTTTATTCCAAAAAGACAGAAGAATTAAACTCTAATAATACTTTCCTAAAGATATGCAACCACATTGTTATAATACCACCTGAATGTGGTATTTTTAAAGGCAGTGCTACTGAATGAGCAGACTGTGACTAGAAAATTGACAAGGCACCTATTGAATGTGATTAATTACATCACTAATAACAAATACTCTCTTTCTATAGTGCATCAATGTCTTTTTGTGGCCCTTTAAAATGTTATTTTAATTCTTTCAAGGTTGAGAATTATACTATGTATAAATCGTTTTAAAAAGAAAGCTGCAACCATATAAATTAATGATCTGTCAACTCAATCTTAACCTTTCTTTGTAATAAGCTCTTATTTTATATTTTAATTTTTTCTTTCTCTGCTGTCAACCTGCACCTCACCAAGCACATGTGCTTACGTGCACACAGACACATACACACACAGACAAAAGTGTTTGGCAAGAGGAATATGATACGCCCTGCCAGAAGATTACTCATATTTTCCCTATTATATATAATGAAGACACTGATTTCCAAAATGTGCTGCCAGCCACATTTCTGGACCTTATAGAATTACACATCCATTCCCTATTGTTCCTAAAGAATGCCCACAGGTTAAGCTCAACTCCTGGTAGCAACATCCCTGCAGAATTCTTAGCAGCATTACAAATGGGCTTTGCCACTATAAACTTCCAGTATTTATTTATGCTTCCCAATGTAGTCAGCAACCCTCAAATTCTCAAGCAGTTCCTCATCCATGGACAAATACAGGAGCAACCTTGTTGTAGCTTCTTCAGTCACAGTCAGCTAGGCTCTGCCCCTCAATAAATCTATTTTCTTATATTTTGTCAAAAAGGGTTAAAGCAACACCTTTCTCAGTTTTGGAAGATGAAGTATAGCACTATCTCATACTTGTTTCCATAGTTAGTTAATTTAAATATATGTAAGCATAATGGCACAATCAATCAAATCTCAGCCTGTCTTAAAACTGCCAACTTCAGAATCAATCATTGTTGCACCAAATCTGCATCTGAGGAATGAATGAAGGTCCTCTCCTAGAAGTTCTCTCTGTCTACAATCATAACTCTGCTTCCTGTCTTGTGGAGTGAAACCTGATAATTACTGCTTCCCACACTAATCTTCTGGTGATGCATTCATCTTGCATCTTCCCCCTAATGCCAGCATGTGTGAGAGATAGAGCTCCAACAACTCTTATTGCTTTTCTGGCAAAGTAAAATTTAAAAATTACACTGACTAATTTTTTTCTGTAATATTAACTCCTAGCACTATAATGTTGGGTTAGATGACTAGGAAAATCAGCCTCTTCTTGCCTCTCACCCTTTGGGGAGACAGATCAATTTAACAGGAGATTTTTTAAAAATTAAAATATTATTTTTTTAAAAAAAAGTAAAGGAGTTTAAAAAGTCTTTTTGGTTTTAAGTAAATGCAAATTAAACTTTAATTGGCAAAGGGGATAAAGTATGGAATCCAGATTACAGGTCACAACTGAAAGGCTATTTTATAAAAAATATGAAGAATAATACGGTGTTCTGGGAAGATCACAAGATGATGCTGGTCTGATCCCAATTTAGAGCGGCAACTCAAGCTGAAAACACATAGCAATGTTCAGCTTGTATAGAAAACTCAGATTTCACAAACAAAATGTTAGACTTTAAATAAAAACAAAATAAGTGTCAATTTTATGCAATATTGCCAGCTAATGCATACCCTGTCAAGAAATCCTAAAACAAATTTATGTAAGGCTTTTAAGCATTTTGACATTCAGGTGTTGCTGAGTGTCGGTGAATATGTACGGGGACCTTCACAAAAGCAAAACTTACAAGTTATTCAGATAACAACTGAGTTAAAATGCTGTAAAGACTGTAAAATTTAATATAATTGTCTTTGAAACATTAATTAAGAAATCTCAAGGAAATCAATCACTTATACTGTGTGGGTAAATGTAATAATGACCTTTAACTGTCAAGAGATTTTGAATATATTCAGACCTCCTATTCTTTAATACATATTTGTGACAGAATTACTGCAAATAAACTTCCCAGAATTGTGTACTATAAAAATTAACTGCGTTTGCCTATTATTTGGCCACACTTTATCAAAATTTGAAAATCTTTTTCTGGTTCCTGGTTCCAAATGACTGATTGACTGACTGACTGACTTCTTTCTTTTCCTTCCTTCCTCTAAAATGCTGTAGGAAGTTAGCGCCCACCCCTTTCCTGGAAGAGTGAAATATTTTAGGAAATATTAAAAAGGCAGAATATTATATTTCCCTGGATGAGAAATATGAGAAGCATATTTTACAGACAAAGCAGCTCCCACCTTCCTGCCCCCCACCCTTTGTCAATGGGCCATTAAGGCCTGGGCCAGTCTATTCTATATAACAAAGATCTACCTCCTTCAGGCAGAGCCATAGTAGGAATTGCCAAAGATAGGATTAGCCCTCTACACAATAACAGCAGAAACTCACCACATGTGACCTGGGAAGCACATGTGACCATCAGCCAGCAAGGCCCCCACCCCCTGGGAGTCTGACAATCAATCAGGATACTCTTTTGGGGCCCCAAGAAATGCAGAGCCAGGGAGAGCATAAAAACCCGAGGATTTACTGTATCTGCCCCTTTTCTGTTCAGGAACTCAAGCCATGTGATCCTGTCCACCATTAAACCATCTTTCCAAGCAGTCTCCATGTTTCCAGTGTCTGTTTTCCCCACTTGGAGCAGAACCTAGAAGGATGTTTCTTCCAACAATGCCATGCAATGCTATGCCATATTTTTTAAATTTGATGGCAAGAGAAACATTTACTAAAGATGCCTTTCAAAAGCCCTTTAAAGAAAACCATGAATATCCCACGGGAAAGATACCAAATGGCCAGGGTTTTTTTAATACGCTATATATAGCATCTTTTTATCTGGAAGAGGCAGCTTCATATTAAAAGTCTTTTTCTGAGGGCACAACTGTTTTAAGAACTACATTTTGAGTACCTTTGTTGTGAGCCAAAGGTTCAGCAGGATGATTACTATATTCTAAGACATTAGATTGTCCAATATTGATATTCCGGCAATCTATTAGCATTTTAAGATTTGCAGTACACTTATAGTATCTATAAAATGTATGTGTGGATTTTTAAAATAATAATTGAACAAGATTAATGTAATTTCATATTGTAAACTTTCTCTAAACAAATGACAACTTATTAGATACACACCACAGAAAATACTGGAACCAAGGATACATTTATTTATTTTTGCACTGTGCTGAACTGATCCTTTGACTTTGCTAATGCTCAACCATCACCCGCTACTTTAGGTTGTGTCTGCATAACTCACCAGATTAACATGTAATCGGCTAGTTTGTATTCAGGTTAAATGTGCATACTAAGGCTAGTGGTTTAATTAGAAGAGTCAAGCTGAGTGCAATCTACAGTCTACAAACTTGCCTGATTTGGTGGCTGCGAGGTTACTTAGCAGATGCCTTCTGGAACTCGGATTTGGTGGAAGGAGAAACGAATGTCAGCAGATGCTTAATTCTAATGAGTAACTACTTCAACAAAACCCCAGGAGGAGATGCTGTTTTGACGTACTAATTGCTTGTGTGTGTAATTAGAACGGATGTAGGTGGGAAAAGAAATTGAGGTATTAATTCGCTGTCATGGCACTGAAGGGGAAAAAAAAAAACCAAACAAACCATCGGGTCAGCAAAAAAGCAGAGACGCTCAATGTCATCCGCTAGCTCCACCGCGGGATTTCTGTAGTTAATGACTCTCCGCCAGGCGATTTTGTTGAGGTACTCTAGTTAAAACATTCCCACTCCAGCGGCTCCAGTTACGCCAACTCCTCCCCTCTCCGCCCCCGGCACCTGATGAGGATGCGCAAGCATATTGAAAGGCGCCGCGAAGTTTACTACCCCGTGGAAGCAACGCTTCACGTCTCGTCAGAAAAAAGCTTTTCTCCACAAACCAATCCTTCCAGCGGAGACGAACTATAGCCCTGGCCCGCTTATACCCCCACTTCCCCTTTTCTCCCCCTCGGTCTCCTACCGCGCCGAGGCCTTCTTTAGCCGTCGGGAGACCGCCCAGGAGGTGTGGCTTGGAGCCTGTCTCCCGCGGTCGTTTTTTTGGTAGCCGAAGCTGAGCGACGGGAGTGGTTTTGCTGGGTTTTGTGCCCCCTCGGCCGCTGCGGGCGAGCGGACTGCAAAGCGAGTGGAAGACTCCGGCGAGCGGTGCCGTCCAAAGGACGGCGAGCAACAAGTGTCCCCGGTCCTTTCGAGCTGGGCCGTGTACGAAGTTAAGAGGGTTCGGGTCCCCACTTCCTTCGGCTTGCCTGAGGGCACGTGGCCCCGGCCCCTGGAAGGCGGACGCCTGGCGGAGGAGCCAGAGGGTCTGGTTCAGGTGCCCTCGTGTGGTATTGGAGGACGAAGAAAGCAGGGAGCCCTCGAGGAGATGCGCTGAAGCGAGTAGGAGAGAAGTGAAGTGGCGGCAGCGGGGTGAGTCACGAAAGCGAAGAGGAGGAGGAGGAGGAGGAGGAGGAGGAAAAGAAAAAGGGAGACGGAAGCGGCCCTGACGTTTCTCCATTGCTTCGTTTCCCGCAACTGAAATGCTCCTTTCTCGCCGTCGGTGAAAGCCCCGGGAGTCACCCGTTCTTTCGATTGCTCGCGGGCCCTGGGGCACCGGTTCCAGGGGGAAAAGCAACGCGCGTTTTTACCAGGGGGGAATCCACTCCGGACTGTGGGAGGAGCGAGGGCCAAGCGCCGCCGAAACAACGTCTAATGGGGAAAAACCCGGCACATCCTGGGTCTGCTGGCAAGGCCATCATCTCCTAAGAGCGATGGTGGCGGCTCCATCAAGGGCGACAGCAAGAGCACCAACTCCGGTCACAGGGAGCCGGCGACGTAGCAGAAGAAGCGGGCCCCGGCCATTGTCTGCCAAGGTAACTGTCTGCAAAGCCTCTTTCTCCACGATTTTGGTTGCGTGTCTTGCGTGCGTGTGAGTTTGCTTGGCGACCGGAGAAAGGAGCAGTTGGTGTCCGGGCATGTTGAAGAGGATTGAGAGAGAGAGAGAGAGAGAGAGAGAGAGAGGTGGCTGTGGTTTTTCAAGAGGGGTCGTATTCGAGTCGATCGTGATAAGGGTTTCCAGGGGTTTCCTTGGCTTCGCGCAGAGGCGCTCGCCCGCACGCCCCAACAATCCTGTTTGGGCGGTTTAATGCTTTCCTCCGCCACTCCCTGAGCACGAAAGGAGACTGAATTGGACGTGGAAAATTTTGTCCCAGAATATGGCTCGTGGGTATGGCGTCGAAATCTTGAAAAGATCAAGGGTGACTTGGCTCCCCTTGGGGTTTCTCTACTGCCTAAGAGACCAGCAGTGTGCTTTTTTTACTTTTAAGAGTGGGTCGGTGATAAGTCCCTGCCTTGTTCTCTTTCCATTTCAGACCTTTTATTTTCTTACTTTCATTTCTTATTTGCAAGCTCATGTCTGGTTGGATTTGATTAATCAGATTACATTCTAAATGTTCTCTGGAGTATAGAATTTATATAAAGAACTAAAGAGAAATTGACAGTTTTGGTAAAATCTGGATAATTTCATGAAAGAACCAAATTGATATGGGACTGTTAAAGCACCATGCAAAGAAGTGAAAAAGCCATTGGCTTTCAGTTTATTTTCTACCTTGCAGGAGTGCAGGACCGTAGAGGCTGTTCTGATTTTTCTGCGTTTCTTTGAGGTTTGTGCCCATCAGTCCAATTGATATTTGGTAACTTAGTCTCTAAACATGGGGAAATAAAGGGTTTCATTATGTGTGTCAAGAAATTGAACTAATTGGAAGAAATAATCCATCTTCGGTTTTAATTTTTCTTAAGGTTTAAATGTTTCCTCTTGCTGGTGTAAGAGCAAAGATTACAGATTGTTTGGATGGTCATAAAATAAGATAGAAAATGTCAATGATCACTAGATGGTATTTTATTTGCTGTCACCTAGTGGTCATCTGGAAGTTTGCAGCACAAATCATCCTGTTCCCAAGCATACAATTGTCCTTTAAAAATTACCTTGTGTGTGTGTCTCTCCTTGGATTTAGCTAATTAATTTCAGAATGTTTTGTAGTTCAGAGGAACAATTAATCTTCCTTTGAGTTTACGTATTATTTAGTTTTAGTCTGATATTTTCACAAAATAATGATTTAACTATAATGAGTACATACAAGACCATATCAGTTCTGTAAAAATTTACACAATGTTCTCCAAGGATAATTTTGCACATTTACACACTGGTAACTTTAGTACACAACCCCAAATCATTCTTACTCCAAATAGTAAAACCTACTTAACATTCTCTTTGACTGACCTCCATATAATCATTAGACTACATAACTATAGATTATTAACTCAAGGATTCAGCAGTGTAAAACAGAATCCCCTTGGCAAGAATACATTGTGAGGACAATTTACCAGATAAGAAAATTCCTTTGACAAAGATTGCAAAAAAAAAAATGTGCTGGAGTAATCATGATAATGCATTTTTACTCTTTGAATCTCTCCAAAAAGTTTCCAAAGTAACTAACACAAAACAACCATGACCCAAGGAAAAGAGGTGGGACATAGAAAAAAGGGAACTTGTTAGCTCTGGCTTTAGAGCTTAATTAAAAATTCTTATCAAGTGAAATGAAAGCTGTTTGGGGTGCCTTGATGGGACAGTTAATCATAACTTGGAGAGACAGGCAGACTTTAAACTGAAATTTGTATATTGATAAAATAATGCTAGCTTTGGGAATATTTTCCATATTTAGAAAATCATGGCATTACCTGAGCATAAAAGTTTTTTGCCTGTAACTAAGCTTTTGCACTGGATAGATTGTTTTACAATAGATGAGGGGTGGAAAAGTGACATTAGTGTGCAAGTGTTATGGTCCACCAGCAGCCTGCGGAGCTGGCAGCGGAGTCAGAGAGTGAGGAGGCTGGGGAGGACCACGGGCCAGTCCTGGAGTCTGGGGAAGGCCCAGATGAGGGCTCTGCGTTGGAGGCAGAGATGGGGCCAGGCCTATCTGGGAGTGATGCGCGGACTGCGGAGCCTCCAGAGTAAGACAGCAGAGAGGCAGAGGAACAGGAGTAGCCTGTTTCTAGTGCACACATGCGCAGAGCTGCCAGAATGCAAGAACAGCTAAAGCAAAAGGGACAACTCGGGAGTAAGGCCAGGAGATGATTGGCCCCTCCCATAAGGCTTAAAAGAGCAGCAAAGGCTCTTGGGCTCTTTGTAGGAAAGCAACATAGCTAAATCTGTTTCCAGTCTCTTGGTCCTGAACTTCACTGGGCTTTGCCAAGAAAGGCCTTTGGCAGGGTGCCAAAGAAGATAAAGGTTTGTGATAAACCTAAAGGACTTATTCTGAAAGATTTGTTTTGCAATTAATTTGGACTAAACTGGGAATGAAGTATTCTCAGCTGTTACAATAAAATAGGTTTGTTGGGGACTAATTGTGTCTTGTAATGACTAAGTGAGCCTAGGTCACAACAGCAAGTAGTAAGATAGGTGTTTTATAAAACTGCTTGACACCAAGAAATTATAGGCCTGACTCTTTTCTTAAAGAACTTTCTATCACATGCTGGGGAAATGGTCATGTAATCACATCAGATGTCACAATGCATGCAGGAAGAAATCGATTCATTATGATCTGGGGGAGCAAGGAAAAAGTGAAGACTGAAATAGATACTGATATCAAAGGTATAGCAGGCTAGACTTGATAAAAACTAATGAGGTTTAGAATACAGATACTGTTTTCCCTGATGAATTTAACCTTGATAACTAAAATTTTTCTTAAAAAGGGGGTATGGAAAAAAGAGTGAACGGTAGATACTATAATGTTCCAAATAATCTGAATCATAGTACAAATGTATATACAGGTAGCTTGAAATATTTGCATATTCAAATGCAGGAAAGAGATGTTAAGACTTTTTATATTGGGGGTTTAAAGGTAGGGTATCATTTTTGAAATATTTAGAAAGCTTTCATTTTTAAAAAATAAATCCTGACAAAATTAGTACATATCGGTTCCAGTATAGTAGTTTTAAACAGCATGGACTAAAAATGAAACTAAAATTAGATGCGTGTGATTATATTTAACATAATAAACTTAACATTGATTCCACTCCACTTTTTAAACTGTTCCTTGTTGTTGTTGTTGTTTAATCAAGATTCTGAATATTTTAAGCATTCATTTTGAATGCATTAGTTAAACTCAAAACCTTAAGGAATACACTATAATAAAACATGCAAATCTATCTTAATATACATTTCTTCCACAGTTAGGGATTGTTCAGGTCCCCCCAGTCAACACAGGATAGCCTGAGAACAAATACTGCAAAAAAGAAGCCACACTTCCTGGGTCCCATCAGATGACACCGTTTGATAGAAGGGACCTAAAGCATGCCTACCCTCTCAGCTCTTGTGGGATAGCCAGAATAATTGGGGACAACAGGTCCTGCAGATAAGGCAGCCAGACCTATATCATGGAAGGCTTCATAGATGAAAACCATTATCTTGCATCTGGAAGCCCATTGGGAGTTAACAAAGTAGAAGTGTGACATGGGCGCACTGAGATACAGCTGTAATTACCTGTAACTACTTACATTGCTGCAGCATAGCCATAGCTTCAGGGTAAGCCATAGCTTCAGGTCACCAGCCATAGCTTCAGGGGAAGTCTCATTCAGAGTACATTGCAATGATTTAGACAGAAGGTGACCAAATTCGATTAAATCATAGCAAATGACAACCAGTAACCTGGTTGTCATTTGTGACTCTCATTGCTGGCTTCTGACAGCAAAGTCATTAGGAAAGCTGGCAGGAGATCACAAATGGCAACCACATGAAGTCAGGCTTAATGATGTCATGTGATACATTTAATGGCAACTAGAACTGCTGGAAAGGCCATTCCTAAGCAGTATGGTCACTCTTTATCACCATGTTGTTTAATAGTAGAAAGTTTAGTCTCAATTCCTATTATTAACCAAGGACTACCTATTCTATACATTATTAAATCCAGGGGGGGGGAGGGGGCAAATATGAGAAACATTTAGAGTAAGACTACTTTAATTATGCAAGGTATAAGTTGTGTGGGCAAATTGCCTTGGTAAGTTTTCAAGGTAATTGTCAAGTCCTGGAAACAAGATACATATAGATTTCTGGAAAGAACCAAGGGGGACACACATGTAATACACAGTTGGTCACATTTGCAATCCTGGCAATTCTTACTCAGGAGAATACAGGTAGTTCTCACTGCAGTTGGGACCAGCAGTGAGTAATGTCATAAATTGAAAAGTCACATGACCATGCCCAATTTACTTGACAGCAGTCCCAGCTGCTGTCAATAAATGAATCACCATGGATCATTAAGCACAATATCACATGATTGCAATTTGTGACTTCCTGCCAGCTTCCCCATTGGCTTTGCTTGTTGGAAGCCAGTTGTGAATGTTGCAAATGGCAATCATGTGACTGTGGGATGCTGCAACCATCTTAAGTGTACATCAGTTGCCAAGTGCCCAAAACATATGACCATAGGGATGCTGCAACAACTGCAACTTTTAGGAACCAGTCATCTCATTGTTCAGGACTACTGTAACTTCTGGTTGCTGGCTGAGTGATCTGTACAGGTAATTTTCAATTTACAACTGGTCGTTTAATGACAGCTTCAGGAAGGAAATTTTACAACCCGTACAGCATTTCTGGCATAAAAAATGGTTTCTCCCCCTCCCCCCCCGCCCACATCACAGTCACATGATCACATTTCAGGAGCTTGATAACAGGTTCCCATTTTCATCTGGTTGAAGTGTGGTGGTGTAGTATTCTGCAGTCACATGACTATGATTTGAGATATTTTGTACTAGTTTCTGGCAAAAAATGCCCATTCTGAAGAATGGGTTCAGACTGATGACTGTTCTAAAAGCA